CCGGTGAGATTAGAACCGCTGAACTGCAGATAACAGTCAGCTGAAGTGGCCTGCAGTACTGCACCCTAACCACTGCGCCACCTCGGCTCTGGAAGAGGCAATGTGGTCTAGACCAGGGGTCCCCAATCCCCTGGGGCCACGACTGGACCACGGCTAATTCGCATGCTGACTCTGTAAACCGCTTAGAGAGGGCTGAAAGCCCTATGAAGCGGTATATAAGTCTAACTGCTATTGCTAACTGCTAACTGCTATTGCTATTGCTATTTCCAATAGTATAGCTAAGTATCCTGGGTATACTTACATCGGATTCCGTTTTCTCTTTTGGTGTGAGCAACACTACGCAGAGTGCAGAAAAGTTGTAAGGGGAACTAGGTTAAAGAAAGCAGAAACGTGAGATCCGGAAAAGGAAAGAAGAGCTCGAATCCCTCTTGCCAAAAGTGGCTTTGGACAAAAAGAGGATCAACAAGGAAATCCTAGGAAGGCAGAAAGAGCAAAGGAGAAAGAGAAAGTTTAGCGACATGAGAAATCAAGGCAGTTCTCCATTTGGATGGTGAATGCCCCAACAGGCATCAAGAAAAGAATATTGCAGTGGGAAAACGATTGAAAGGGTGTGTGAGAATGACTTTTGAGGGACGAGAGAAAGAGATGCTCTCTAGGGAATGATCAGATAAAAGGATGGGTAGCCCTCAGCTGCTCAACAGCCAGAGATAGGAACTTTAAAAAGACCCACCCTAATAGATCAAGCAGATAAAATGTGTTAGTGGGAGATCTTTCAGATTTACGAGATTGTGTTAATGTAACGCTACAATAAAGTAAATTTAGCTCATCTCATCCGTGTTTCCTGTTGGGCTTACAAAAAGTCGAGAAGGAAATCCTCACCGTTCTCTTCTCAAACACTACTCCTTGTTTGCACTAAAGCACAGGAAGTCATAGAAAGTATAATATATTTTAAGTATTTTTACCAGATGAAGTTGCCCAGGAGGAGGCCTGGGTATCAGAGATAACTTTGCGGCAAATTCTTTTATATGTTCCTCGACTTCTGACTCTTTGTAAGGCTTCAGCCGTAGCAACAAACTGCAATTTTTTAAAAAAGTAAGGTGAGTAGAATTCCCGTGCCTTTCAAACATTTGCTTCTTCTGCAAACAATGTACCATCCTATTGCTCTTTAATTTAATGCAATTCTGTTCTTTTCCTTTTTCGAGTACGGATCTTAAGATTCAAACCAATGAAGCTTGCAGAACAATTCGTGCAAATTTAATCTCGTTTTGCAGCTCCGCTCCTGCCAGCTTATTATTACCCTATGAAATTAAAGTCAAGTCAGTAGGACATAAAATTCAGCACCTCGATTTAAAAATTTAGGAGCTGCAAAATTTGAAACAGGAGAGCTCGTTTGTTATCAAAATCTTTTAAGAAGCTACTTCAAAGTGGTGTCAGGATTCCAAGTAATATGCAAGCAGGACTCCGAGGCAAGCAGGTTCCTCAACAAACAGGTTTATTGGACATATCATATTGTCAACAGACTGGTGAAAACCGACTCTAAAGGTTCCCAAATTACAAGTTTACCCTCCTTTCCCAAACAGTCACATGATCCAATCAAGCTGCTTGTCAGGCCTGCAGCCATCTTTTCTTTTGGATCTTTGGCCTGCCACACTTTCTATGCATTTTCTATTGTGGGAAAATGGGAGGGGGGACTGTACGGAGTTAGATGCTGTGTAGCTATAACAACATTCTTTCTAGAAAGCCAAGGTCATCCTTTGTATTCTCTGCATCTCTGCACCTGACCGGAACTGGATGGGTGGAACTGCCAGCATGACAGTGGGAAATTGGACCATGGGATGGGGTCAAGATCTTGAACTTTCAACTGGGTGGGGAAAACCGGGAAGCTTTCAGATTCGGGTTTTCCCCAGATGTGCCAACATGTCTCTCTTAATAAATTGGAACTTTGAGGAATACTTTGCCTTGGACTCTGAACTTTTGGATGCTATTTGGAACCCTGTCTGGTTGCTTGGTAAATGAACTGTTGTAAGTTGAGGACTACATGCAATTGCAAAGAAAATTGTGGCTCTATCCCAGCAGCTCTATTTGTCCTCACAAAGAAAAAAGCCACCCAAATTATTTATCCTTACCAAGACAAACAGTCCTTCAAGGCGTTGAAATATGGGTACCTGGATATGACACAAACAGCAAACGGTACGAAGTAGGCATCAGATCTAGAGCTCTGGAGCTTATCCCAATGTGCCTGCCCATTGTAAAGGCGTCCCTCCTAAAGAAAAAAAAAACACACACACAACTGCTTATGACTTAGTTGCCTTTCAAGGATGGGAAAGTCATTCACATACACATAAAGACCGACAACTTCAGAACTCTGCATTACAAAGTTAGCCAAATCAAGAGACAGAATTTTACAACTAGAAAATATGATCAAGGGTTATAGCCTCTCTCGGAAAATCATGTTGCAAAAGTAAGAAAATCTCAAAGCAAGAGATGAAGACTCCAGGCACAAAACCAAGTTCGTTTTTGAGTTACGACCGTAAGGGAGACAGTTGGGATGGTTGTAAAGTGAGTTAACACATGACGGGACTGCATTTTGCAACCTTTTTTTAATAGCAGCCGTGAAGCAAACGCCACAGTCACCTATTGTTTGATGTTGTGGCCCAGCAGGAGCCGTTGGAGCTGCCACCAGACTCCGACAGCGAGGGGCCCTCTGAGTCAGCTCCGGAGGATGTAGAGGACCCTGGACATGATTCCGACTCCAAGCAGGGTGCAGAGAGGCTGGTTGGCCACCAGGAGGCGCCTGAGCCTTGGACCAGTGGGGG